ACCTAAATTGGATTCGATCGACTTAATAGAATAAGAATGTACCTTCAGGAACAGGATATAGCAGATGATATAGGGTGAACGTATATAGTAATAAGAAAGACAACTGAAATGCGAGATTCGATAAACATCAAGGAAAATAAATATATATATGGAATAAATTGTTTGAAAGTTTATAACGCTAGCATTATTAAATTATTAAATTTTAAAAGAATAATCTTAAGTAAAAATCTCACAAGTAAAAATGACTTCACCTAGAGTGAGACGATCTAGCACAGGCGGGGAAATGAATTTTAGAAATTACATCGAAATAAGGCATCCTTCTGTAGCGTGTGAAAGAATGCGGATTAACCGGAGTTTTACAAAGATCACAACACTCAAAAGGACACTAGTGTAAAAGTTATTTTCTAATAGATATCACATCGAAATAAGGCGTCCTTCTGAAGCGTGTGAAGGAATGCGGAATAGCCGGAGTTTTACAAAGATCACAACACTCAAAAGGACACTAGTGTAAGCTTATTTTCTATTAGATATCACATCGAAATAAGGCGTCCTTCTGAAGCGTGAAGGAATGCGGAATAGCCGGAGTTTTACAAAGATCACAACACTCAAAAGGACACTAGTGTAAGCTTATTTTCTAATAGATATCACATCAAAATAAGGCGTCCTTCTGAAGCGTGTGAAGGAGTGCGTAGTAACCGGAGTTTTACAAAGTTCACAACACTCAAAAGTACACTATTGTAAACTTATTTTCTATTAGATATCACATCGGTTCAGCGAATATTTACCAACATTTTCCACTCACGTACGAATAACAGCGATTGTTATTCGCACGGGAGTTGCGGTTCAGCGAATATTTACCTACATTTTCCACTCCCGTACGAATAACAGTGCTTGTTATTCGTACCTGAGTCGCGGTAGAGAGAATATTTAGCAACTTTTTTTAATACCGTACGAATTATTCGCGATTGTTATTCGTACGGGAGTCTGCTCAGCAAATATTTACCACCATTTTTCACTCCCGTACGAATATTTCGAAATTGTGGATCCCGTTTGAATGGCAATGATGGACTATTGATAGTACGAAGTATTTAACCTCGAATGCCTCGAATGGTATCTCGGCTTCGTGTACGAGAAAGGAAAAAAAAAAATGCAAGTCAGACAAAAATTGTTTCGGTACTAATCCTTGGAATCAGGAGCTCATTTGATATGTTGTAGAATGACAAATAATGAACAAAATATCACAGTCTTGAGCTTAAGTCTGTTTTCCGCAACAGGCGGGATTTTGGCGCATGCGCAGCGGTTTTTTAGCCGTGTCCTCTAAATATATGTTTTTGAACAAACATAAAAATCACTACTCACGTTTTCTGTTTTTACTTGAATAGCATTGATGCGGGGATACTGTACAGAATATCCATCCCTTTGGCCCAAAGACTTTCTTTTTACMGTGTACGGTATCCATGGTAACTGTAGGCCGCTATTTTTTCTGTTTTATCTTGTTATAGTGGCAAGAACACAAGTGAGGAGTTTTCCAACATCTTTTTCGATTCCTTGTTTGATAAGAAAAGAGAATAAAAGAGATGATAAGTGGAATAAATTGACAGATTCTCACAGAGTACCTCTTAAAGTATCAATCTCATAAAAGCCATAATTATTCAATAATCTTTCAAAATAACTGCGTCAAAGTACTTTTTCTAGTAATGTTAGACTTTTCACTATTGTTTCAATTCGAAATACTAAAGTAAAATTTTTCCTTGTTCCGACACTCCACTTAGAAAATGTCCGATCCAAGGAGTGAATCCAAGTTTGGATTTTCCACAATTTTAGATTTTGAGGCAAAAAGTAACAAATTCTAAAAGAGCAAGAGAAATGGGGATCAATGGTGTAATTTGTTTTGTTTTGTTCCTGAAGGAAATAGATTTACGAGCATCTAAATTTTGGACCCGCGAGCCACTTGCACGCCTATACAACACAACCACCTTCCCAAGGTACTAGATACTATGAATTGTCCTTTCTGGGGCAAACATCTAGCGCTAACTAGCATTACTATGCAGATTGAAAGTGTTTCCTTTCTCCGAAAAATCAGACCCAACATTCTAAAATTGAATGCGATCTTTGTTTTAGCCGCGCCTTGACTTTGATTCGCAGGAGTTATTTGAAGTGTCACACTTGCATCGCTCGTACTCTATGTACAGGTTTGGCTAAGAGGAGAAAGCTCGGACTTTTTGGTTTTCTGGAAGCGCTTGGAGATTCTAAATAAAGATAAACAGTTTCAATCAATAGTTCATCGATACGTTCTCAGTGACCCTTTCAAATAAAGCGCTGCTTCACGCCGGTAACTAAGCTCGTCATGATACTTCTAAATTAGGTAAGGGATTAGTAAGGGATCCTAGTTCTATATCGGACTATTTGGTTCTCTTCTCTTTCTTGCTGTGCTATGGAACGAATTTCACGGTCCTCATTACACCAGGATATTGTCCATACACCTTTAAGAACACGGCACGACATGTCTGTACCTAATCTAGACAGGCTTAAATAGTTAAWTCCGCTCAAACATGCTAAAAGTCGAGCGCGGACAAAAGAAGATTTCAGCTCGTATCTGACTGACACTGATCATGAGTCCAGGACTGGGCGAATCTGTCCCTTGAGATTTTTCACATTCACACAGAATGTCCTTTTTATTATTTTTTTAAACTACGAGTGTTAGGAATTGAGAAAATGGAAACTAGATGGGTTTCAAAGCGAAGGCTTAGATACATATACGGATGAGGACTACATCCCGGGCGGAGAGAGGTACACGTAAAATACAGTAAATGTATGTAAATTGGGCTGTGAGGGGCCTGTGAAATGCACTCTACGCCCGTGTTATAGTTTTTTCTCAAAACACACCATTCACTAACAACCCAAGCCTATTATTCTTTATTCTTCCAGTTTGTTGTATCACGAAGCAATCGTACGCTAAACCGAGGCTAATGAGGATGGATTTCTAACTGTCAAACTCATCATAGACAAAGCGACGAGCAACAAGTTCTCGATAAGAGACATTAATGTCTGAAGTCGATGATAAAAGCCTAGAAATATATCAGCAATTATAAAATATAGGTGAGTAACACAAAAAGACTATAAATTGAGTTTGTTCGGTGTTTATTGTTGAAAAAAGGATACTCTTACGTATGGTCATTTGCAAAAAGGATACCCTTAAATATGGTCAAGGATACCCTTAAATAAGGTCATTTGAAGAAAGGATACTCTTAAATATGGTCAAGGATMCCCTTAAATACGGTCAAGGATACCCTTAAATACGGTCAAGGATCCCCTTAAATATGGTTAAGGATCCCCTTAAATATGGTCAAGGATCCCCTTAAATACAGTCAAGGAAACCCTTAAATATGGTCAAGGATACCCTTAAATATGGTCAAGTATACCCTTAAATACGGTCAAGGATACCCTTAAATATGGTCAAGGATACCCTTAAATATGGTCAAGGATACCCTTAAATACGGTCAAGGATACCCTTAAATATGGTCAAGGATACCCTTAAATATGGTCAAGGATACCCTTAAATATTGTCAAGGATACCCTTGAATATGGTCAAGGATCCCCTTAAATATGGTCAAGGATAAATTAACTACTACGCGCATGCGCGCCTCATGGCTTCCATGGAGTTTTAAATTATTTTTTCAAGCAAAGGTAGCCCAAGCTCGACGTGCATGAGGTTTTGTAATTATCGTAAATATTGATTAAATTGTAACTTACTTCGTGTCTAGTAGTAGTCCCTGGTAATGTCTTTCACGTCTTTTTTACAATATCATCTACCGGCCTTGGTACAGAAAAAGTTGGAAGCGCAGTCCTTGAAATTGCCTTCAACGGCTCTAAATCAGGCCGATTTTGTTTGTATGAATTAAAATCCAATCGCAATCTGCCTTTGCAGGGCTGTCAAGGGATAACTAAACCGAATTGCTGGCTTTCACTCAGCTGATAAAGTTGAGTTTTTGAATCTCATTATGTTTTCCATATGTGGGTCAAACACTGATCACCATGTGCTGTCAACCAGAAAGAATCCTATTGAAAACTTGCGATTCAGCTGATGAACATTCTGCAGGAGACGAAATTGCGTCACTAGTGCAACTCAGCAATACAGCTGTTTCGATTATATTGAGCCAGCTGCTTTTCTGCAACCATAAGCTTCCTTGAGGCCAAGAAAATAAATGAATCATGATCACATCTCATACAATAACGACAAAAGATTACATCAGCTGAGTGATATGTACATTCTCCCGGCGAGCGAAGCGTCTGAACCACGAGTAAATTTGGAAATAGACCTCCTCGGCTCGGGTGTAATGTTGTCCCATTTCAGACCAAGTGTCATTCCCTTGAGAATAAGATTCTTTGTTTGAGTTGTGCCTTCTCATGTGCAACCKAGCGCAACCGTTAAACAAAAAAATGATACTCTGGGAATAACACGTGATCTGAAATGAGAAAACATTAGGTCTATTAAAACTGTTGTTTAAATCGAAATCTGGGAACGGGTACTGTTCGATTTTTAACTTTAAGTGTTCGGGTTTTTTCCGTTCTCTTTTTTTCTTTTTTTTTTATTTTTCTTTTCATTTTCGATTTCGAACCAGAGTTTCGTTTTTCTTTAATGTTTTTGTTTGACTATTTCATTTTACACTGAATAATTTTCGGTCTAGGCAAGTTCCAAGAGTGTTTACACGGTGCAACGGAGACTCAATCCGTTGCCAAAAGTAGAAACGAATTCTACTTTTCGCAACGATCGGTGCAATTTGTTTCGCAATTTTTTTTTCAACTTGCGCTGTAGGTTACACGCTGCGATGCTCCATGCAACTTGTATCGCGCTGTTACAAGACAAGTTGCAAAGAAAATTGCTCTTTGTAATCGCGCATTTAGGGAGCAGTGACAACTTATTGCCTTCACTGCGCACTCACTCAAAGCAAATGTTCCACGGGAAAAAATATGTAAAGTCGTATTTGTAAATACAGTTGTTATATCTATAAAGGTACCTTTATTTCAGTCATCTCAGGAATCTCTATTTACACTACGACGTTAAATTGCAATTATTTATTTAGACATTCTCTTAATCACGCGACCAACACAGCCCACGACCCACGGTCTCATGCATCAATCAAGAAATTATACTTAATCAAATCGTTGGAATTTCGATTGACGGAAGTCAAACCCCTAAGAAATCTTGGGTTGTCTTTGTCGCGTATTTATGAAAATTGTTGTAAATATGGGGTAACTTCTATCGAGACTCATAAAGTAAACGTTTGAATCAACTTAGCAAGGAAAGTCTTTTAACATTCAAAGGTATAGACCAAAATTATATTTTAAATTATTTGTATTTGACAAAAATATATTAATAATTCGCATAATAACAACAAAATAGTCTTTAAACACGTTAAAAAATAATCCTCGTTGAAGAGAAGAGCAAAGTGAACTTGGTAAATAAAATGGTTAAATATCCTAGGGTTTTGCAGTCACTGTCTTTGGTTTTGACACTTGTGCGAACCTTTTCACGACAGAGACATGGAGGCAGTATTAAACTGTCTTTGGTTTTGACACTTGCGTAAAATGTGCGCACCTTTTTAAGACAGAGACATGGAGGCAGTATTCAACTTTCTTTGTTTTTGACACTTGCGTAAAATGTGCGCACCTTATTACGACCGAGACATGAAGGTAGTATTCAACGTTTTGCCGCGGTGCGTCCATCGACAACGCTGCTGATGTAGATATCTTGAAATGTTATCTGTAAAATTTCTAGCATGTATTTTATTGTTCGCAGACAACAGGTGCCTATGATTAGAATATTTTGATGTTGGGTTCGTTTTTTCATTTTTTTGTTATGTCAACCTTGGAGATGAATATTTTCGTTCATGGCCGAGCTTTTTTTCTTCTCACTCAAGGAGCTGGAACTTAAAGATCTATACAAGATACAAGATTTCGCGCAACTATGCTAGATGCACCTCGACCTTCAGGATGCGTCTTTCATTTAAACCATTCTTCGCGCTACCAAGTTGTGCTCTTCAAAAGTACGTTTTTCTTTTGGCTGTTTTATCTACGATTAGTTTCCCATAAACTCAATCTAACTTTGCGCGCTGCTCTTTTCATTTTAACCATGCGCCCGCAGAAAAACATACTTCTRTTTTCGCTGTCGGTACATTAAATAAAAATTGCTTGATCCATTTTATCCTATTTTTCAACCAGTTCAGGGTTTTTTCTTAGTTATAATTACAATATTATAATTACAAGCGTTTATCGTTCTTCAACAATTATTTTTTCTTGAGGATAAATTCCATGGTCTTGTAACGTTCTGGAGCGATCCAGGGTGTAGAGCTAGGAAAAAAAAGAAAAAAAAAAAAAGGAATAAATAAACGGCGTATTTTTGAGATTATATCTGGGAATAAATCAGTGATGTTTTTGACTGGTGACATTATCCCCCTCCCTCCCCTCCCCCTCCAATCAGACCAGACTTAGTTTAACCAACTCACGAAAGTCTAAGCGTGGCGTTCACTTACATCTCTCCTTGGAAAATTAGTAACGATTTTATACTCATTTTCGAGGTATCCTTTCGTTTGTACGAACGTCAGGACAGCCTGAAACACAATATAGAATAAAAAGTTAATCGTGGATCACAAAACATCTTGTTACTTAGAAATGCAGTGGTAAGAAGGCTTAACACTTGATCCACTTCAAGTATTAGACACTCCGAGGTTTAGTTGGCATTACAGTGCATTTTGGGGCTGTTTTAGGGGACTACATTGATGGGTTGCAAGCATTTCCAAGGGAGTGAAAAGACAAAAACATGGCGGCCATTGTGGTACCGTTAACAATGGATGCTAATGAGAAATCTTTTGTTAAATGRTACCAACATGGCCGCGATGACGTAACGTGCAAACGAAGAATAGACGCCATCTTAGAAATGTCTTCTAATACAATCCCACAATGCACTCGACCCAGTTTTTTCCTAAACCTCGGAAAGTGTAATTGATTTAAAAAAGCTTCCATTGAGTACTGCCCTGCCTCCTTATCTACACGCGATATTCTGCAGCCCCACCCCTCCTCTCCACAAATATTTCCTATTTATTACTTAAGGAAGTTGAGATCACCTTTAACGAACTAGAAGCAAGGAATCGCCTTTGTAACCTCTCTCCATTGGGTAACCAGAACCGCAGGTCAGATATGGGTTCAGTACAGTCGGGCCCAGGCTCATCTGCTAATAAATCGACCAAAGATAATCTTTGGGCCTGGTGTGGAATTAGAGAGTATATAAATGGTTAGTGGCTATTACGATTAAAAGTTTGCAGAGACTCAATTTCTCCTCTAAAATCATATTTGGGTAGCATGGGTGGCATTCGCGTCTAACGCGTCGYCTTTCACCGCTGTGAGTCCAACGGGTCGGGTCGCTGGTTCGAGCCCTGCGGTCGCCACATGTGAATTGAGTTTGTTTGATGTGTTGTTCTCTCCTATGCTACGAGGGTTTTCTCCGGGTTCTCCTGTTTCCTCAACATGTGAGTTGAGCGTTGTGTGGATAGAATATTAAATGTAGTGGTAGTGCGTGTGAGCGACAAGTGTCCCCAATTAGTGCGAAAGCGCTAGAACGACTAGACAATTAAATAAAAAGTGATATATATATTTCTCAAGCCTCCAACCTCTCTTTTTCTTTCATAGCTACCGAACCGATCCCCCTTGGGAAGAAGTATTTCTCCAAGGGGATGGGATAGGGTGTAAGGTACGACTTTATCCGCGTAAAGTTGCCGGCAAAGTTGCAGAAGTAGAATTGAGATTCGTTCATCGCAACAAATTGTGTAATCTGCAACTTTGCTGTCAACACATGAAGTTTTCAGCCAGAATTCCGCGGCTACTTGTGACATCCATTGAAAACTTGGTCGCCTCAGCGTTGCACGCAACCACAGCACCATATCTGCGCCTTTGTACGCACTTGTTTCTTTTACCTCTTTTAATTGTGCTTCATGTAGCGCCTGTTCTTCTACGAGTTTTTTCGCCAACATTTCTTCCTCTTGTTTTTTTCTCTTCTCTTCTTCCTTTTGTCTGTCCTGTTTTAGCGATTCTTCGTATGCTTGATCTTGTTCTCTTCTCATTAACTCTCGGAGCTCACGCTCTTCCTACAAGACCATAAATAGAAACAAGGGTTCATACAGAAACTGGGCAACAAAATTTAATTTCCAAAATCTTAAAGGGGCACTTGCATGAAAATCCATGAAATTAGAATTGACTTTAAACTTGGGTAAACCTATGTATATGGCCGCAATAGTAGCCAAGCAACATATTTCTATACTTCTATATCAGTTTTATTCAGCATCTAAATTGTGAGTAAGTGACGTCATTTACTCAACCCTATTGTTCTTTTTGATTTTAACCCAAAATTGTTCAACAAGTGGCTCACAGGCTCGGTGAATCACTGAGGAGAGTGTAATCACAATAAAACCCATGTCCCACTGTCCAAAACGTAAATTCGTAGTTTCCTTAACAAGGCCTTGTATCCTGTCCCTTTACCTCGTCCTTAATTTCTTGTATCATGGCTTGTTGGAATGTCTCGTGCGCGCTCATCATGCCAGTCATTAATTCGTCCAGCGATAAATGACCTGGTAAAAATATCAAAAAGAGTTATGGATGAGTTCTGGGTAGGTTATCTGGTACCCAATGCACTACCTCTGGAAGTGAAATTCTTGATTTTGGACTCGAATATCTCTGAAACTAAAAGTAAAACCAGGGGTGTACCCAGGGGGGCCAAGCCCCCACCCCCTCTCAACCCACCATCCACCCTCCATCCTCACGCTGTAGAAACCAAAACATCTAAGTATTCACATGATAAGTTCGACTTACTAATGTTCAAAACGTGTTTGTCCCCAACCCCCACCACCTTCCCCCAAAGCAAAATCCTGTCTAGGCTCCTGCAAATCAATGAAGTGAATTTTACACTTTCTGTTGGTCTGTACCCACCACTTAAATCAATAAAATCGGGTAACTATTTTGACCTTGCCCCTTACAATACTAGAGAAAGCCCCCACAGATAAGCAGTAAGAATATTGTGCAATCATCAAAGGGGATTTAACACAAACGACACCAGTCTCTTTCGGCATCAAGTTACCTTGTAGCACAGAACAGACTTCTAACGCCGATCTATTCTTCATGACCACCAGCAGAAGTGGGTATTTTTCGACCGGAAACCCTCGTACAGTTCCCGCAGCAATACTACCAAAATGTTGTGTTGCCATATCTAAAAGCCTATGATAAATAAGTGAAAAGAAGTAAAAAACGCGGAAGAGGGTAAGGATATCAATGGAAGTAAGAAGGGTGAGAAAGAGGAGAGGAGAGGAGAGGAAAGGTTTGAGGTTTGAGGTTTGAGGTTTGAAGTTTGAAATAGCTTTATTGGCATGACCTACAATTTACAGGTATTGTTAAAGCATTGAACATTAACAGGGATTTTTTTTGTTTGTTATATTTTACAAACACATCGTACTAAGAAAAATATCTATATATCTATATATATCTATATGTAAAGTAACATATTTAAAAATATAGGTATAAGTATTACAAATATACTAAATTATAAAATCTTAATTGAATGGTAATAATAATCAAAGATAAATTTATCAAAAGTAATCATTAATAAATTACATCAATTATTTTGATTCATTCCTAAGAATGAAGCATTTGTATATAAACTTAGAAAAATAAAAAATAACCTTGTCATTGGTAGAGATCATTATGTTACGAATTATGTTAAGATCTTTAAGGAGAGGAGAGGAGAGGAGAGGAGAGGAGAGGAGAGGAGAGGAGAGGAGAGGGTATTGTTTTGACTCACCTTGCTTTATTAGTATCATGTGTCACATCCCAACCCCATATCACAAAGCTGCTATTAATATAATTTACTATGGTTTCAGAACACAGTAGTTGCCTGGAACGAACACAAGGGAAAAACAGCATTTACTTTAAACACTAGGCATGAAAACCATTCTATTTGCTGTACATAGTATTCCCAAGTTTTTAGAAGTGCAAATTAATAACGTAACTTAGTCTTACCCGCAAAAAACATTAGATAATATGCTGCCATCATGATGGAGATAAATGAGGAGAGGCCGTCTCTGTAGAACGAGAAGCAAAAAAAAAACAATGAAATTTTATGTAAAATAAAGAGACAATATCATCCAAGTTTTTTTTTTCTTCCTTCCTTCCTTATTCATTTACAGATTTAGTGTTATTATACAACTTGGAAAATGATATGACATGAAGTCCTCTACTAGGTTAATCCAATATCACATATTTTTTGTAATATTTCCACTGTCCTACAAAACACTTACCTCTTTAGCAGATTTGCCACTGGCTTCTTTAATCGCTTCTGCTAGTGGTCCCATGTAGAAGTGTGGATGGGTATCTCCATATCTGTTGACGAAAAAAAAAAAAAAAAAGATAATTAAAATGGCAATTGTTTTTCATTATGGGATTTTTAATTGGTTTCACCGTTTTACCAATAATCGACTGGAATTTAGAAGTTGATTTTTGCAGAGGGAGGAATTAACTGGTAAATCTTGAGAAAAATCCTTAAAGCACTGGAGACAATCAACAAACAACTCTGGTCACATATCATGGTAGGTCCAAGGATTGAATCTACTACAGCAAGAGAGAGGCTGTGCATTAGCATCAAGTTTGGAAATTGATCCTGGGTCATGTACATGTATTGGTCAATAGAGGCACACAATATATGTGCAATGTAACCTGTGTTTTTATTATCCCACATTGCTATAACACTTTTACTCACCTTCCTTCAAAGTTAGAAGCAAACTTGATAAGGTTTTCTGATGAATCTACACTGTCTGCAGGTACTGAGGAGCAACAGAACACAAATGTCATTAAGAAACGTTCTTTGGAAGGTTTCAAATGTGTGAATGTTTGTAATGTTATTACAGGCCTAAATTTAAAACAGCCTCAGCTGAATTGGACTTCCCTATCAAAATATTGCTTGTAAAATAAATAAATAAATAAATAGATAAATAGATAAATAGATGAATGCGTGAATGCGTGAATGCGTGAATGCGTGAAAACATGAATACATGAATAAATGAATAAATGAATAAATACTATAGGAAATGGCTATTTTGAGAGAACTCATTCCCCCAAGAACATTCTTTATTTACAAGTGTACTGTACTTTTTGTTATTAAACAGGCAGTTCAGTTCAGTTGAGGCTTGTTTAAATGGAGGCCACTTTCTTTCAAGTATGGTATCTACGTTAACTTCCTAAGTTTAACCAGTAAAGAAAGAAATAATACTCAAGGGAATGATGCATTGCCAGAAATGAGAAAACATTACACCCAAGCGAAAGAGGTTTACACTTGATTAATAAAATGGTATGTGATACATACATAATTCGGCAAAATGCCGTCTACTTGGTATATCAGAAAACATGTCATCATCTTCATCATCTATTATATGAACATTGTTCTCATCATCCTCGTCATCATCATCATCATTTACTAGTTCCATGTGGACATCTATTGCTGTGGAGGACCCCTGTGAAGAACAGAGAACAACAATATCTTGAATATAAGTTACAAGTTATTTATTGCAACATGAGCAGATTAAGTTAGGTCTCGATTCCAGGGTCTTTTGCTGGGCTCTATGGTTTTCCAACCTCCACAAAAACTAATATACTAAACTCAATTCGATCTGTGACTTAGTGCTTTAGCTACAGTGTGCCTTGACTCTGATTACATTGAGGTTGTTTCAGGGTTCAATCTGTGAGTTATCCATGCCATTAATTAGATCAGCCCAGAGGTTGTTTCAGGGTTCAATCTGTGAGTTATTCATGCCCTTACTTAGATCAGCCCAGAGGTTGTTTCAGGGTTTGATCTGTGAGTTAGCCATGCCCTGACTTAGATCAGCCCAGAGGTTATTTCGGGGTTCGTTCTGTGAGTTAGCCATGCCCTGACTTAGATCAGCCCAGAGGTTGTTTCAGGGTTCTATCTGTTAGCCATGCCCTGACTTAGATCAGCCTAGAGGTTATTTCAGGGTTTGATTAACCTGTGTGGCAGGCATTCCTGACTGAGGGCCAAGAGGCTAGTTAGTGTTTGATAAAATTGATGTTTAGTGTTTCCATTTTTTTTACTTTATAAACAATATTTTTTAACTTGCCTCTTTAGCAAATACRTCATCTTTCTTTGATAGAATAAGGTTATGTACAGGAAATGACAGCTTAGCGTCTAGTAAAGTTGACTGGAATTTGAACAACAAACAAGAATTCAAAAATGAAAATGGGATGAAATAAGATTGCTCATCAGATCATCAGACCAAAGTGGAGAAAAACTTCCTAAAAAAATTATTGAGATTTCAGCAAACCAAACTGACAGTTTATAGACTCAGTTCAAACTTTCAAGCTCTTGTCCTGTTGGATGGGATGCTTGGACRGAATGACCTCCAAAATACAGACTATTTAGATAGACTACTATCTTAACCTCAGGCATAATGTTTTCCAATTTCAGAACACATTTCATTCCCTTGAGAATGAGATTCTTTGTTTGAGTTGTATCCATATTCACTTGTGTCCTCATGTGCAACCATTAAACAAAGAAATATTACTCTAAGGAATGACACCTGGTCTGAAAACGGGAAAACATTACACCAAAGGTAAAGAGATTTATTCTGTTTTGTTCTAAGTATTTTGGAAAGATTTTTTAATAAAAATCTGAATTTTTTTTTGTAATGAATAGCTTACATTGTCGTTGGTTCCATTAGGCCAACCTGACCAGCACTGATTACGACAAGGTATACTTGTCATTGCATGGATATCAGTTTTTACCTGTTAACAAAGTCAGTGAGYACTAATATGAGGCAATTGTAAAATGAAAAAAAAAGTAACAAACGTTTTACGGTTTTATGAAACTTTCAAACGTTAAAGATTTTAACAATAATGTTATCAGAGTAAATGGTTTGAACGCAGGTGCTGGAGTTTGGTGTGAAATTTGATCATCTGAAGATAAAGATGACTTCCGCTCAGGTTGTTGAAACGTCAGTCACCACCACCAAAAGTCTTTCTCAAARCTTCACTCACCCAGAAGATCACACTTCACAACAATGTTATCAATATCAAAACAAGTAGTTTAAGAAGTAGCACAAACCCTGCATTAAGGACCCTACCATAGTGATTAATATTATGAATGTAGTCCCTTCAGAACTAATAAAAGCTATGCTATCAATGGGAGCCCTGGGATATTACTCACCTCTCCTATTGTTTTCGAGATTGGAAACGGTAGGTTAAACACATCTTCATTGTATTTTATACTCAACATTATTTTTTCAATGGAATTTGGAACTCCATATGAGCAAGAGCTAGAAAATAAATTCAAAAATAAATTTCCTCTTCAGTTATTTTAAGTCTTTAAGTGTTGGTATGGTCAGGAATTAAACTAGCAACCTCAAACAACTGAGATAACTAGTTATCAGTGGTCAGTAAGAAGAATATATATTTTTCGAACTTTTGAAAATACCTCCGCTTGTGTTCTTTGAACACAGATTCATTTTCGCAAGATCAGCCTCGATTTTGTGCAGGATATTCATGTGTTCTAGTGAAGGTCTGTTAAATTTCCAAGTGTATTGTCTGAAGTTTACTTTACCGTTTATTTGAGAATATTTTGACATTAAAATGAGGCTAACCCTGCGTAAATGACTCATTAGTCAAACAGAATGCAGCAGGATTTTATGAATTCAAAAAAGGTCAATAAAGAAAGTCATAGGATGATTACAGCATAGTTTACCTAGAATCACCATTATACTTTGATGAATTCGATGAGCATGGTTGGCTATATCTAGGGGTTTCTGTAACAATTGGTGTTAGTAAAACTAACGGAGTCTCTTCTCTTAAGTTCAGGTCTCTTAACACAGTCTGAAATCAAACATTAATAATTAAGAAATATAAACAGCTTTTTCTGTGCTCCCTTCATTAATACAGTATTCATGAAACAACAAGAGCATAAAAGAATATCTCCTTCATGGTTTCAGGGGCAGATCCAGAATTTTGTTCAGGGAGGGGTGCTGCACACAATGTTAACCCAGGGAGGGGTGCACCCCTTAGAATAAAAGAGAAAAAACADTATTGGTTTTCTTCGAAGTAGGGGCACAAAGTCCAACCAGGGAAGGGTGCGCACCCCCTGCACCCCTCCCCTGGATCCGCGCATGGGTTTCTCTGCCATATTGAATAAACTATAATAATTAACATTGAAAAGAGTAGAACAGCGAATAACATATTTACATACTAAACTAAAGTGGACAAAACATTTGAATAGGAAAACAAAAAGAACTTTATAACATCTGCTGAGACACTGCTATATCTTACAATCAACAGAACAAGAAATAATTTAACTCAATATTCTCATCTAATCCACGTCCATCAATATTATTTATTGAATATGGAAGAGGAACCATGAATGAAACTATTGTGTAGAACTATACCCACATGGTTTATACATACCTCATCAGTTAACTGAGTGTTGTGTGCCCATCCCATTAGGCTTTGCTGTTTTACAGGTACATTAGTTTGATGTTCAATCATTCTTTTTATGGTTCCTGATATAATTTAGACACACCGTCAAAAAAAAATTAGAAAAAAAAATTAATTAAAATACCTATATGTTATTTACCTGTCAGGATGTCGAGATAGAGAAAACTAAGTATGAATATACTTGAATATAAGGACTGAGGCTTAGGTCTTGCTACAGAGCTATAAGCAGCTGTTTTATATTGCTTCAAACTCATAAAAATGTTTTGAATGATCTTGCGCCAGCAACACGGCAGCCAACCAATCAGCGATCATGTTATGTTTCAAATATTTTATAAATATGCATATAAACCTTTATAACTTACCTACAGTTTCTGTATCATCTAAAACAACTGTCAGAGTCTTATCCTTCCATTCTATTAAAAACGTTACTCTTCTCTTTGGGTGGTATAATGGTACAGACTGACCAACCACCTCAACATCAGGGGTAGGGCTGGAGAGAAAAATTATCACATTAGGTCTTAGTACTACTACTAATAATAATGATCTTTATTTATATACTGCTCATATCCATATGCATGTCTAAGGTGCTTTACAACTTACAAAAATTATTCAGGTAAAGAAAAATTTGGTTGATTAAAAAAATGTATAGTTTAAAGCCTGGTCCTCGCCAGCGCATAACCATAAGAGTGTACATCCCCATTGGAAAATTTGGTGGCATAAGCATAAGCAGAAGAAGAATGGAACATAAGAATAAAATTCTCGTGCTTATGTCACAAGTGGTGACCAAGCGTAAGGAATAAATTATAATCATTAATGAATAGTAAACTAAACATGATGATGATGGTGAAGATAATAATAATAATAGTGATGACCAATTTTTAGGATGATTGTGGTAGTGATGATGATGATAGTGATGGTGATGACTAATTATTAGGATGATGGTGATGATGGTCATGATGATGTTAATGATGAAGGGAGGGAGATGGGAATCAAGCATGAATCATGAATGAATGAAAAAATTATACATTTTTTCAAAAGAAATTTTTTAAAAAAAGATTTCGGTAATTCCAATATAACAATTCAGTAATTTTAATTTCAAGAGTGCTGCAAAAACAAACATCAATCAAATATTGAATATTGTCGCTATRCACAACCAATTACGTCATAATACTGGCATCTCACTTAAAATTTGAATACCAATGAATAGCTGGCGAATAAAGGTCGACTTGTTAATGAAAATAAACTGTTATCTTAACTAAATCCGAGAAAATTCACAAATGAGGACGACGAGAAGAAACGTAAGCTAAAGACTTCATTTTAATCATCAAATCTCAGCGTTTCAACTTTAAGCTTACCGACGTACGACGGGCGAATCAACAACATCTCCATCTAACACTGAGTTGACGCAGTTCTGTAGAAAGAAAAAATTATTAATAGACCTATCTTTTCGTGGATTAAAGATTATATAGCTAAGATATTTATTTTTAATCAAACATCATGTTTTTTTCTTGAATGAGTTGAGATCRTACCGTCAAATCCCAGTCATGATGATTCAAAAGCGTTATGCATTCATCCAAGTTCTCGATGCCTGTGATACTCTGATAACAAAAAATGACAATAAGATTATAACGTAAGAGATTTGTTTATAAGGAGGATAGAAAACAAACCTGAAAGTTGGCAAGAATCATYTCTCGGTCGCCGTCGGCCGCCATGTTGCTTTGTGTTGCTGGAGTRTTACGCATGCGTGRTATTATGATGACACAGCATGACGTCATTAAACCTACTCAGGAAGCCCAAACTTTTTCTTTCTTTCTTTCTTTCTTTCTTTCTTTCTTTCTTTCTTTCTGGTTTGATAAACGAAGCCGCACAGAGCGCAGTGCGCCTAGAAAAATCTAGGTTACAGGGGATGGACGGCTGAATAAAGTATTGATTTGGCTTGTTTGTGTGCTGTCGTCCAGTCTGCATCGACTGTGCCCTGCAACACCAAAAAAGAGCCGATACTTCTGATCATAGACAAGATAAGCCTTTGTATTCCTAATTCAGCGGCCCAAGAAGTGAATATTTAATTYGTTACTTAAATTAAAAATGCTATGCTTTTATCAAAATGTAATGAACCAAGAGGTCTCTGGGCTACCTTTTCAGACACAGTCGGACTGTAGGCCAGGACTTCGTGACTTTATCAACCAATAAGAAATCTTCATTCAAATTAACGAATTATTATTAAGGTGAATGAGTTTCAATTCGCCAATGTTTTCATCGATATTGACCATGAGATACCACTGACTCTGTGGCTCTTGATAGCAGACCTACATCAGTTGTAGCTTGCAGAATATCTCCGGCAAAAGAAACATATTTAGTCAAGYAATCTAATACTTCATAGCCGCATTGACTTGGTTTTCCTATCTATTAACATTCAGTGAACAGCTACGAAGGGTGTCGACTGAGCTTGGCGCCGGTGCAAGAGGATAGAAGACCGTTTTGTCTGGACGCAAAATGTGAAGAGAAATTGCCCTTGTTTTATGAGGATAATACTCTAAGACTGACTTTAATAGCGACAAACCAAGGTATTTATTTTCCGAGCCCATCCCACACGGCTTACTACCTCATCTATCTAGTATTTATTTTCATACTGGTAGAAATCTTACGTTTCTAAGGCTGTACAGAAAATTATTAGTGGAAAAACTGTGCGTTTTCGCTAAACAATTTTCAAATGGATATTTAAATTATAAAAAAAGGGTTTTCCTTGTAYATTTGGCTAAGAATTCCCAGCTTATACCATTAGTTGTCTGTAATTTCCTGTTTTGAATAACACTCGAATCGAAACCTATTGCTTTCTATGATAACTCATCTATTTTTTCAGTTTCCTTGCTACTCTGAAGACCGTCAGTCGAAGATTATAGTGTATAATTTCACGGTTGTTTAATTACAAAAATATGGTTCACGATGAATAAGAGCAGAGTAATTTTTGAATAATAAAAGAGAAACAGAGTGAGAATATTTTTAATATTGTCAAAAACACGGTGGGCCAACAGGGAGCATCAGGCGGACGATCGATTCGATCGAATACTGCATGTTTTTTTAATACCGTAAGAAAATAATCTGAAATTGGTTTTAAATCGCTTTATAACTCAAATTTAATACAAAGATGAGCAAGTGTTTTTGCGTTCCTGAGAATAAGCGTTTAAAACATATCGTATCGAAGACAGTGTTTTTTTCAAAATCGAACCTGCTGTTATCAAATTTGGGCGTTTGTCACGCAAGAAGAATTTACGGTCACGCAAGCTCATTAACCTGAACAGGTGAACGTCCCTGAAACCTGAAATGTATAAAAAAGAAATTTCAAGCTGTTTTTCATTTTTCTTTTTCGAAAAATTAGTGAGAGTCGAAACTAAAAAAATATGATAATAGAGCAAGAATTTTAGATCCGAAATCTTGGCACAACTTGTACAACGCAACGCATGCGCAATGCGGGCGCGATCAAAAACGCATAAATTTGAAGTCCCTATTACTGCGCTTGCACTGGAGTTCAGTTTGACTTTGATTTATATAGGTGATAGGACTACATGCTGTCAAATCTTGAAATAATTGGACGAAAAACAAATCCAAGGACTGCGAACTAAAATTTGACGAGACCGTATGCAGGATAGGCACGTAGTAGTCCTATTTTATCCACCAACAGTTAAAACAATTTAGTACTTTTGACACTTTCATGTGTGCGGAACCAAGGTCTGAATTGAGTGTGTGGTTAAGGCATAATGGGGACAATTACTGATTAATCGGAAATTCAAATCTATTTTTTCCAGTGCTTCCAGTGATTCCCAAGCTTGCGCAATGGCAGAAGACAAAAATATAAATATCACATCTTCTTTTACCCCCATAATCAGTTCATCAGCTCAAATCGGCCCCGATGTGGTGGACCAAAGCTCGAGCTCTGCGGCACACCCGGAGACTTCAAAAATTAAACCCCCTGATGTAAAACCGAAGCCCAAACCAAAATCAATACTGGATCCCGAAGAAAGACGAACGGATTTGGACATTGACGCGCTGGTTCAGCTCGAAGCTAAACAACACGGTATTTTTAAAATTGACACAAATCTGGAAGGTATGGTGGACAAAACGAAGGCGATCAAGGAAGAATTTCGACGCCAGAGCATAGCTAATGAGCAATACTTCGTCAAAGACGCTCCTCCACTAGACTTAAATTCCCTAAACACCTCAACCGACCCCAACAAGTATATTTTCAACGTCGAGGGGTTAAAGGGTGTGGAAGTTGTGAACCTTCTAAGATGCGTAATCATCGAGTACAAAGATAGGCCCGAACAAGGACCGTTTTTCTTTCAATTTGCGGATGACAAAAAGTTCAAACTAGAATTGCTACCAACTGGTACACAGCCAGGGAATGGCTTAATCAAGACCGTTGGCCGACTTAAGTACTATAGTTATCCTGACATGTGTCATATGTTGAAGTCTGGAGGTGTGACAAGCAAGGGGTTGGGAATCATGTTGCAGAAACTCAACACAACTGGGTTGAAGTCCGCCCTTCACAATCAAATCAGTCCAATGAATGAGCTCCATTTTATGCTGCTCTTCGAGATCGCAAAACGGCTCGTGCGAGGCCCTCACGGTTACTCATTGTCGACGGAGCCTGAGCTGGACCAGTTACCGATCGGCGTCACAGTGGCACGAATGATCTCATTGTTTTGCAAAGGAAAAAGCTATCTGGATTACGAGGATGTGTTTGGATCACAAGACAAGTACAACCCTTTTACTGATTCCAGTGTGGTTCTACGAAGACAAAAGATTTGTGCTTTGAATAAAGCGTTTTTCGAGTTTGAAATCAAAACGCAAGAGGAGAACGAGTTCATTGGCAAGTTTTTGAAATACCACAATGGATACGTGCTAAAGACGGTCGAAGGCTACTTAGAAGAACTCGACATGGCTTTTAGGGGCCTTTGAAAAAATGAAATGTGATGGAAAAGATAAAAAACTAAATTTACGAATATTTAGGCACCAATTATCATGCATATTTATTTTTGTTATTGCCTGGTGTGATGGTGAAAAAATGGATTGTCAAAAAGAAAGTGCTTGGTCCGTATCAAACTCGAGCTCCTCCCTCTAACCCCACGCACCATAGCAACCTCTGGTAACCAGGAAAATGTATTATTGTATTTTATGTGAATATAATTACATCATAATAAAATGTTTTAAGAACATCGTTTTTGTTAGTATTTTCTTTTCTTTTTTGTCCGTCCGTCCGTCTGTCCTTCCTTCACTTCCTAACTTTTCCTTTCTTCCTTTCTCTAAGCGCGCGATATCACAAATTAGCCATTCAGGATCAACCAAGGTACGCGCGCGAGAGATCACGAATCCCATGAGAAATTATTCTTCGTCTTTCCAAATATAAACTTTGGGGTGAGGGGGGTAAGTAGCAGATGCGCACAAACCTAAATATTATTCTTATCATTATCATTACAACATCTGAATAACTTCCCTCCATTCTTTCTTATCCCACTCTCCATTTGGTCGTACATTTGGTGGACTTGCTTTCCAGTCCCAAGTCTTAACAGGTACATTCCACGTTTGACCATAGTTAGCTTCTATATACGATTTGGTTTCACACGGTACGCGGACCTTCATTGACAGAAATTCGGTCCAACAGAGAGTAAACTTGGGGAAAATATACCTAGTGATTAAAGATGGTTATTAGATTAATATTAACATTACCAATAGACTTATTCTCCAGGATGTAATTCTACTGAAATCCATGAGATGGTCGTGATGAAATAAAAACTGGGATAAGGCGTCAAAGTTGGTAGACTGGAATTCAGGGACTCCCATGATCCTCTACTTCCCGGTCCTAAAATACCCCTCTTCTCTCCTCTCCTGTCCTCTCCTGTCCTCTGCTCTGCTTCGCTCTGTTTCGCTCTGCTCTGCTGTCCTATCCTTTTTTTCATGTCCATTGAGTGGCACAACCAGGGATCTTGTAGGGGAGGTGCACAGGCAATATTATTTGCAGAACCAATAAAAAGGTGACCAATTAAAAAAAAAAAAAAAAAAAAAAACAAAAAAAAAAAAAAAAAAAGAACCAAAAAATAAATAAATAAAAAACACAAGGGAATAACGGCTGGATGATTCTTAAAACTGTTACAATATGCAGATGGAAAGTGGTCTTCATTTAATCAAAAAACATTTGCATGCAATTTTAAAGCAAAAGGAGATAGATGAGTGGACCTTAAGCTTTTATGGGGGGTACACGTGCACCCTGTGCTCCCCCCTGGTTACGCCCTGGTGTTACAAAGAGCTAAACCTTACTTGAATTTCTTTCCTGTCCTGGCTTGGGTTCCACCATTCCACATGTAATCTTTTTCTTCATAAAAGAAAAATATGTCTAATTTTATTTTCTCCTCTTGAGTCCTAAATGACAACTCAAAGCTATCTTCAACCTAAAAACAATATGAAAAGAATACAATTACTGAATTTCCATGTTCCAAAGGTCTTATTATTGCAGGGTCACTCCACTCTTGCATGCTCATAAATTGCAGAGTCTCCCACGTTGGCAATTCTTGGCAGAGGAAATGGCAAGAATTTCTGCCAAGAATCGTCAACACGGGAGTCTCTGTTACCAGGGAATCATGAGCATACAAAGTCTCTACTGGTGCATTTATCTCCCYTTTATCAAACATCCTAATGTACCTTTCCAAACCTGTGAGAGAGAATAAGTCCATATCTGTTAAATCTGTCAATTAATTTAGTGTCGTAATCCTTGATCCAAATACCAATATCTACATCTTTACTGTGTGGAATGATCCCACACTGCCGATACCACCCTAAGGAGAGGAAAGGAATATAACTGTGAATTAACAGCCCTGAAAATTACATACTTTTGCACTATAAGAGGGCAAATGTCCAAGGGGGGTGATGAACATATGAGAAGGGAAAATGTTTAGTTCAAGAAAAATATAAAAAATAATGTAGAGGAAGTGTTGTTTTTACAAATCCTAGGGAGGAGGATATATTGTGTAGTTCCAGAAAATATCCATGCCTCTCCAGTGGAGGGGGATAAGAATTTCCAAGGGGTGGGGAGGGTCTGAGGAGGGTACATTGTGTATTACAAAGAAAATATYCATAATTCACCCATGGAGGGGGATTTGGATTTTCAAGGTGTTGGGAAGGTCTGAGGAAGGTAYATTAGAGACCTTTGGCATTGTGTTTACCGCTAACCTGTAAACGATAGGAATCGGGCCCCGAAAAACGCCCGCAAACTAGGAGAAACACTCGGCATCAATGAAATTTAATATGGCCACTCTTCCAACGACAACTTCCTTATGATGCCTTGATAAATGTCAAAAGCTTGAAGGAAAATGCCCGACGTCGAACGGCAGTTTGAGGTTCCAGGGGCTAGCAAGAACGTCTTGCTAAAGGTCTCTAATATCTCAACCTTCACTGCAAAGAGAGGGGGTTAAAACTTCCCAAGCAGGGAAGACAGTCATGGAAAATAATAGTGTTGCAAGCAAAAATCCCTCTCTAAGGGTGTAGTACCAACACTTACCTAGACATGTCCCGCTACTAAGCCAGAACCTAACGCCCAACCCATCAAGGGCTTGCTTGGCTTTTCTCAACACTTCTTTTGCCTGTGACATAAATAGTTCTGCATCAGGATTTCCTCCTTCTCCATATTTATAATAAAAAGAACGGGCTTGCTTCACATCACATTCAATGAACTTTGAAGATTTCATCTCTGATACAAAATTACTAGGCCTTTTTGGAATAAAAATGGCAATGTCATCCACAGATGTCTTGGTTAAGRTGAATCTGTAAATAAAAACATTTTAAATGTTACAATAATTATATTTWAAAAAATTTTGTATATAGTTAATAATGCATAATTTCTCTCAGAAATTGTTTCTGGGTTTAAAGGACATCTCTACTACAATTTAATATTATTATTACACTCACTTATCAAATGCTCCAGGTGATTTACCAAAAGCATGATCCAACTTTCCAGTTCCCTCTGATGCAGAGCCATGCCACAAAAAGCCTTGCCGTTGATAAAAAATGACTATGTCAATAATATTTCCCTTGGAGGCGAAGGAACAATGTAAATCAATGCTTGAATATAAGGTTTGGTCTACTGTTATCTGCCTTGGGTCCTGATCTTTGCAGCAGTTGTTTTGGAAACCTTCTCTTAACAAAGCAAGCATGAAATTGTCCTGAATTAAAAGAAAAGGGGAGTCAAGAATGGTATTATGAGTGATTGTGTACTCAAGGGGATTAAAATAAGAGGTGGTCATCAGACAATGTCTGATCAGAGTTATTTTTTACTGGTCAAATCTTTGTCTTTCTAGTCATTTTGACCAGTAATGTTGAGCCAGAAACAACTGAGGTGTGAATTAAGCTAAGACTAACTCGGCCTATGATAATGACTGGTGATTGACCAGCTGTTATCTTAAGCCCTGTGATCATCTCTTAGATCTGTGGTCTTTGTTAGATTTCTGGACTGGGTTATTGCATGTAAGTACACTTTACAATTTCAAACTATGTGCATTAGCTGTCTTGGATCAGCCCAGAGGTGGTTTCAGGCTTTGATATGTGAGTTAGCCGTGCCCTGACTTAGATCAGCCCAGAGGTTGTTACAGGGTGCTATCTGTGAGTTAGCCATGGCCCGACTTAGAACAGCCCAGAGGTTGTTTCAGGGTTTGACCTGTGAGTTAGCCATGCCCTGACTTAGATCAGCCCAGAGGTGCATTCTGTGAGTTAGAAGTACATATCATCCATCTTACCCTAATCACTGACCATCTGTCACCAAACACACCAAGTATGATTTTTTTCTTGCCACAGACATGTCGGCAACCTGATGAGAGTTGAGGTGCGAAGTTCCATATATACTTTGAGGAGCTGTTAACAGAAAGCTGGTCAATGACAATATCTTGAAGAATCTCTGGATCAACTATAAAAAATTCGACATTGAATTCCAGGCTGATGTCTGCTATAGATTTGAGGTTTTTCTGAAATAATAAAGAAATAATTACTGTTAACACTATAAACATTGTATGTATATTAAATAGTTCTTAATTTTAAAAGGGTCAAATTTTATAATAGCAAGTGGCTAACAAACCCGGGGCCCTCATTCAATTATCAAATTGAAATTCAGAGAGAATCTGTGAGGGGAGGGGAGGGGGGCAAAATTGGCTCCAAAAAAAATTAACCAACAAGCAACTCTGCTCTTATATTATGACAAGTACAAGATTAGGTGATGCAGAAACTACGACTTGGTAAGGTATGGTTAAAAATATTTTATACCAACCCAGGCAGGGCTGTCCTTTTTTGCTCCAAAATTACCAAGTCCTACAGCTTTTCCAATTCTGGATGTCCATGAGTTCTAAAATTAAGCAGACCAACTTTGTTAATAATTTGTTTAATAGAAAATTTAAACTTTAACAGACATTAATGGTTTACAGTTTTCCTATTCTAATCTGGGAAAATCACAGTAACTCAGGTTTTTCCTCCCCTCCTTACCCCCTATCGAAAGTCTCCGCCCTCTCAAGGAAGCCAAAGACAGGTGCACTTATAACTTGAAAACAGCTGTGAACTTTTATTCCTAACATTAAGATACATTAAAAAAATTAAATTAAATGTTAACTATATAAATATGAAATAAAAATAATTAATACACGAGATTTTTTTATTTTCTTGCTTCTTTATAAAAAACCGTGTGGCTAAAGATAGGAATGACTTCCAATAAGAAAAACAATTCTCGCATTTAAAAAATTATTCTCAATGTGAACTTAGTTAATGTAAAAATATTCTTCAAATTAAAAGCGTTTACAAACTTTTACGAAGAAAATCGAGTTACCCTACAACATTTTCAACATTTCTTCACAAGTCTTGTTATTTTTTGTCAATGTTTAAAGAAGGGATAAAGGAATATAKAAGAGATTATTTGAAAGCTTAAATGACTTTTTAATGGCTGTGAAGAGATAGAAAAGAAATGAAAGTCGTTAGCTACACTTGAGTCAATCGTCACCTTACCTGGTCATAAAGTCCTCTGATAGAGATGATTTGAAGTAATAGAAACGACAAAGAAGCAAACAAAAGCACCACAAGGATGACGGCTCTCCGCATTTGAATTCAAAAGGTAGTATACTCGCTCTATGTTCATATTATTTGAGGGTTATTTATGAGTTTCTAGTGATTTCCTTCGGGTTGCTTTGAACTTTGAATGGGCGGCCATCTTGGATTAAGTTCAGGAAGGACTGGTGAGGAGCAGGGTATGAGACGCGCGCGGTGAAGCGGGAAATTTTGGGTTGCCGGGGACTCGTTGCCGGGATCTTTCGCTCTCTTAGTGTTTTCCTTTTTCTTTTCTTTTCTTTTTTCTTTCTTTTTTCCTTCTTTCTCGTTTTTTCTTTTTTCCTTCATTCCATTTCTTTTCATTTCTTTCCTCTCTTTCTTTCATTTTTCCATTTCTTCAACCTGAATAAAAGCCAAAATCAGGAAAAATTTTGAGTATTCTACTACTAAGAATACTAACAATCTAAAGCCTAATAGTCGTAGCTGTAAACTAAGTACAATGGCTTAGATTGGCATCAGCTAGTCAATTGTATTTTCTAGTATACTATAAAATGGCTCTTATTCAACAGGATCAAAACACCCCTTGGCACAAGAAATTCAAWACGCCGCAATGGTTGATGGAAAGAAAGGCGTACTATCGCAAAATATACGACCAACTTAAATTCTGCATTCTGATTAGTTGTATTTTCAATAATGGTGTGGGATAGTGCACGGATTACAGGTCTTGGCTGGGGCTAATGGTTTTAATATGCCAGATGTTTTTGTTAGAGTCCCGGATGCTGTTCAAATATGCATATACTGATCCGTGATAAAAAAATAAATTACTTAAAAGCCAGAGTGAAAAACGACAGAGCAAATGGAAATGGATTTTTGGTGATTCCAGAATTCAAAGCTTCTTGCAGCAATAACGAAAGATGTCTCCAACGGAAAGGAGAGAGACATTTTCTAGGAGAGAAACGCAAAGTTTTAAGTCATCGAAGGATGTCAAAGACCGCGTCATTATCAATTGTGGAGGCAAGCGATTTCAGCCATATTTGAGCACACTAAAAAACATTCCTGATCTTCCATTAGCAAGGCTAGTAGAGAACAAGACTAAACTCGACTATGATCCGGAGAACGGGGAGTATTTCTTCGATCGACACCCAGCAGTTTTCGCTCAAGTTTTGAACTATTTTCAAACGGGAAATCTCCATTGCCCGAGAAATGTTTGTGGACCGTTGTTTGAGCAAGAACTAGCTTATTGGGGCATCGATGAACAGCAAATGGAATCGTGTTGCTGGAGTAACTATACGAAACATCGAGATGCCCAAGAGAATTTAAAAGCTTTAGACTTTAGACCGAAATACGACGAGGACGAAGGCAGACGACGAATACGGCTAGATCCAAGTCTTTCATGGTGGCAAAGACATCAACCAATCGTCTGGGAAATTTTAGACGAACCTTATTCTTCCCCAACTGCAAAGGTATAAAAGATAACGATATCTGAATGTTCATTTGTTATCGGTCATTTCTGTAAACGTAATGTTTTACCGCAAAACATTTTGAACCAGTTAGTGGTTTCAGTTCTGTTGTACGCGAACGCAGCAAATTATTAATGGTTTTTGAGACACATTTTTTTATTTGAACRTTTTGAACATAAACTTTATTTTTATTTTTATAGATGAAAAACACTTTAAAGGTCTTAACACCACATACAATTTTGGCTCCATCGTATACTTTTTTTTTAATATAATTTTTTCCCCCGCACATTTAACTCGTCAATTTTGGAACATAAACTTTATTTTTATTTTTATAGATGAAAAACACTCTAGAGGTTTTTTCTTCAATTTAACTCTCGTTAATATTTATATATCACGTACAATTTTGGCTCCATCCTATACTTTTTTTAAAATCATTTATTTTTTCGCACATTAAACTCGTCGATTTTGGAAGCCAGGGAAACGCTGATTATTATCACTACGAACGTAAAACACCATTGTTTTTAGAATTTTATTTAGCAGCTTACTATTTTTCTACAGTTTCATAACGACCTCTTCAGGATATCTCACGATATCTATCTTTTACCATAAAAAAAAAAAATAAAAGTAAATGTACATTGTCGATATGTTTTATTCAAATGAAAACGGAAAAATTTACAATTCAAACGAGGAACGGATGAAATATGATCAGTCACAAATTATACAGAAGGAAAACCAAAGAAAAAAAGCAGGAAAACGATAAATGTAAACCACAACAAAATATAGCAAAATATAACCTATACTAGTCATAAAATATTAAAGGATTTAAGTATTTAAAAGCGTAAATTTTGTATTATTTTATGGGAATTAAACCTTTATCTCTAAAACAATAACGATAT